TGCCCCTGGCAAGGCCAGACCCGCTGTACAGGCTGCGCTGACGCTTGGCGTTCTTGCCTGCCTGCCCGCATCTTGTTCTGAGCTGTTTAATTATTTTCTTATCCTTTAAATAACAACGCTGGCATCGCTCAATGCCCGTCCTTCCCCAGATGTCATCTAACTGATATTCTGTGAGAGCAAAAAACTACCCCGCCTTAAAAGTGAGATGCTTTTCAGCGCTGTGCCAGGTCAGTCAGGACTGTGGGAGCCGACGTGCCCTTGGTATGCCAGACATACGTAAAAGCACATCTTTAAATCTATTACTTATGAGAGAGGGTTCTGAATTCGACCAGCATCATGTTGTAAATTGACAGTGTCCACTACCAGAAATTTATCTTCGTAATGCAATATTTGAGAATCCATAATAAGAATTACCAATAAAACATTATACATTTTGTTTTTGATTAAATGCTAGTCTCTTATTTCCAGTCTTGAGTTCAGAATTATGCCTTTCGCCACTAGTTTTTGGGGATACGCAAAACTGTACTGGAGAATAGCTTTGTAGCAATCCCCTCCTCCCCTCAGATGCATGCGTTTTTGCCAGAGGTGAAAGCTTTTCAGTCCACAATCAAAATGAGTCCTTTTTTGTTCTGAATTTATAAACCTAAAGTAAATTTTTTTTGCTGGATTGGGTTCCTGATCCGAAATTGTGTAAGTCTTGATAATTTTTCAAATGTTTCAAGCGCTGTTTGGTCATTGATCATACTGACTGTTTCTGCCACCTTGATGAATCTGTTTAGCAGTCAGAATATTGTTAAATATTATTGTTCTTATTATTTGTATGCAAACCACTGTGCTATGCAAGCCTACATGTTCCTTGTACTGGACATAAGTAATGAACTTGCACTCACTATTGCTGTTTAAAAATAATAGAAAGTCCAGTGAGCTTCCTGGTAAAAAAAAATTAGGCATATGTGTACTGATAATCAGCTTAGGAAATAGCATAAAGGTGTGCTGAAAACAGGCATAAGTCACACTTTCAGGAGTTTTGCCTCTTTTTGTTTATGGTCAAATTGGGTGCAAAACTTGTAATCTGTCCATTGTGTCATTTAAAAGGACTATAAAACATTTTCTTTTTGGACATTAATCAAAGTTAATCAGACCTAAAATTAAAGATAATTGGACATATGTTTAGCCCAGCCACTGGGGCTGCACAGGTAACTGTACTGAAGTGCAATGCAGCAGTCTAACCTTGGTGGATTATTTTTGAGTGTACATCTATCCTGGTCTATCTTAGACCTGATTCCACCTTTTTAGACTAGTCTGTATGTACTGGATTTCTATACTGTTACAGGTTTAGATTGATTTCCAGTCACTGAGACTGGGTCTAAGTGTAAGATCCATACCTGGGCAAACTAAATTGGATTGGGTGCTCATTTTTAACACAATTTAAATTGGATCAGCTCCTCCTCCTCCTGCCCCAGCTGTGCTGCTCCAGGCAGCAGGTAGCACATGGAAGCGGTGGGGGACATGTGCCAGGGGGCAATCCGCAGCTGGGTAGCTCCCACCCCACCATGTGGGGCTCCAGCTTCCAGCCCCCTTCCACCCATACTGCCTGCCCAGCATGATGACCAGCCACCCATGGGTGGCCAGGCAAGTGGAAGGTGGCCAGGATCTGGAGCCAGAGCACTGCACGATGCGGCAGGAGCCTCCTGGCACAAAGTGACTATGGGCAGGACTGCGACGTGGGCTGCCCTGGGTGGGAGTGGTGGGGCTTGGCCCCACGCATAGCACCACAGGGGCAGCCGTGGGCCAGGCAGAGGGGGGAGGTGCACCATACCTGCATTGGCACCATACCGCCCATGTGGGCTCTGCTCCATGCTACTCCTGCCTTCCCCCACCTCTGGCCGGATCCCAGGACCCAGCACACAGGCAGCTCCACAAAGACATGCACATTCTCCCCCCCCATACCTATACGCACACCCTACTCCCCCAAACACAATATACAAGAGTACGGCTTTATTTTGAGATATTATGCAATCATCTCTATATACACTACTCAAAAAAACATAAATCAGGGCAATTTTTTTTAAAAATTAAAATATGTTATAGTAGATGTTTGATTTGTATATATGATTTTTTAATCTATAATTTGTTAAAATGATGTCTTCCAAAAGATTTTGTGTACTCACTAAAACTCGTTAAGTGGCCCGCCTGCCAAAATAATTGCCCACGCCTGTCATAGTATTACTATAACATTCCTAATAAATCAAGTCTTATTACAGTGTTATGGCTATTTTATACATTTAGGTTCTTGCTCTTGAAAATACATGTGCAAAATTAAGCTTGTGAGTAATCACAGAAAGTTAAAACCAGTAAGGCTGCTCTTGTTGAAAGTTAAGTTATGCCCATGAGCTTACAGGACCAGGTCTTAGGAGCATTCATATAAAGTCATATAAAGATTTTGTGTAAGCTGTTAGTTTTTGGCAGAAGTTCTGTAACTCAATTGCCTGCCCTTAGATTTGTTTTTTTTAAATAGGAAGTGTTGCAAAAATGGTTTGGTTATTTTTGAAAACAAAATAAGGAAAAAGTATGTTGTTCTTCACATGTATACAAAGGAGGCTTTTTTTTTGCTCTTTTTGGGAGGTCATTTATTGTTCTTTTTGCTTGTCTCGTGGGTCTGTGCTTTGGAGCTGGGACGTGGAATTTAGCAGTCAGAATTGCTGTGGTTATCAACCTTTTGCTGCTCTTGTGAATTACAGATCATAAGTCTTTGGTCAATTCATCACTGACCAGGAAAAATTGATTGAATTTAACAACTAGATTGTCCACAGTCAAAGCTAGAATGATAATAGCATAATGTGAACAAATCAGACTTTTCAAAATTCTTGTTGCCATGGAGCTTGAAGGTCTCTGATCTCTGCCTTAATGAGCAGATCAGTGGTTCCCAACCTTTTTGCTGAGTGGGCTGGATTGGCAGTGCCTGGTCTGGATCCAGCCAGTGTTCCTGACCTGGTGACTGGGCAGGCACGGTGGCACAGTCTGGCCACACAGAGGAGGATGTAGGGGGGGCAGGCTGGCCCCAACACAGCTCTCCAGGGGGAAGAAGCTTGACCCGGCTCATGGAGATGGAAAGGGTGTGCCCAGGCCCCAACCTGGCCCTGCAGAGAAGGATGTGGCATGGCTCAGCCCCAACAGGAGGGGAGGGGAGGGGGTGTAGTCAGGCTCCAACCCAACCCAATGGGGAGGGAAAGGGGTGTGGCCCTGCCCCGATCCAGAAGTGGACAGGGTGGCCTGGGGAAGTGGGTGTAGTTTGGCTTCAACCAGCTGCACAAGGATTGGGGTCTAGGCATTTGGCAGGGGGGAGGGTGGCCATATTAACAGCCTCTGCTCCCCTGGTATCAAACTTTGTGACCCATGGGGAGTCCCAGCGGACAGGTGCCATGGCTCTCTGGGCTGCATTTGGCCTGTGGGCCAGAGGTTGAGCACCCCTGGAGTGGATGATCTGCCCAAGACAGTGGATGGGTTTTGATATCCTTGTGCTTAACATCTAGGCTAGGGGTGGTCAATTATTTGGACTGGAGGGCTGCTTCAGGAGTTTCAGTGAGCTGTTGCAGGTTGCGGGGAGGGTTGGGTAGTTGGTCCTGTCCTGCCCCAAGCTGTCTACCCTGTACCCACCACTGGGGGCATTGGTTCCACAGACAGGGCATGAATTGCAGCTCTGTCCCAGTCACTGGCCCCATACTGTCACCACCCTCCTGTCCTGCTCCCATATGCCACTCCCTGCCTGCCTGCAGCCCTATCCCATCTGCCCAGCTCTGCATGCCCTACCCCCGAGGTTCCCAGGCCAGTCTTCATGGAGACTCCACCTTCCCACCCCACCTACTCTGTCTGACATCCCCATCAGTGACTGCGGAGTAGACTGGCAGAAGCAGCAGGGCAGAGTGAGCTGCCGCCAGACTGGGCTGCCAGGAAGCCCAGTCCATCTGCTGTGCTGCCCACACCTTGCTACGTACCTGGGAGCGGCAGAGACTGGCCGCACACGCCACAACCCAGGCTGCCTCCCACGTCTGGGCTGGACAGGGCCAAGGGACCAGCCGTGGGCCGGGTAAAATCCCTTAGTGGGGCAAATCTGCCCCTCGGGTGGTGTTTTGCTCACCCCTGATCCAAGCTAAAGATCAGTTCTGGGATGTGATCAAATTTATGGATTGGACCAGAGATGACCTATGGAAGTTTTAGGGAGGCAAATGAGAAGATGAGTGTTGGGGCTTTTATCTTTCCTGTCCATTCAACATGTAAAAAGTGTGTGTGTGGTAGACGTTAACAGACACACCCTGATCCTCAAGCATATAAATCTACCTGACCAACGCTGTTTATAGGACTGGAGCATTAAATAAAAAGATAAGAACATGAAAAATAAGTGAACAGTGTAGTTCAACTACTGTTACCAGAATAATTATAAAAACTTATGGGGGAGAGGAGGGGTGTATATGTATCTATGTATAATATAAGCTTATAAAAATGTTCCATAAGTATCCAGGGCATACAGTGTGCCCAAATTAGATTTTTCACTGTGTCATTTGTAGTTTCCTAGATTTCAAGTGTTACATTTATAACTAGCATAATAGATTTTTGTGAAGTGGTCCAAAAATTGTAATTCCAACTGATTTGTGTTATATTAGTGTGTGCTTTTTTGTCACTCCCTCAAAGTGGAAGTTATTTGATTATGATCCATTTTTGTTTGACTCTTTCTTTTTAGCTTTCCACTGGGAATCCATTGTATGAGACATATTACAAACAAGTAAGTTTTTAATACTTTAATTTTTTTTAATTTAGTGCTTCTCTTGCTTCCCATACTTCATTCCAGCTTCTCTTCCTCAGCTTTATGGTAACTGAATGTCAGTATTGCTCTAATATTGTCTGTCTAAGAAACTGGGAATTTGTACTTTTCCCCTCTTGTTTTTTGTAGTAAACTTACTTCAGTGAACTGTTAATGTTTGTGTTGCAGGTAGATCCCACATACACAGGGAGAGTTGGGGCTAGTGAAGCAGCTCTATTTCTTAAAAAGTCAGGTCTCTCGGACATCATCCTTGGGAAAGTAAGTTAAGTGTGTGCGTGTGAGAGAGAGAGAGAGATGTGGGGGCATGTGCATACAGTGTGTTATTGTTTTTATGCACCATGTTCCAAGCTGATATTCAATGGACTTTTTTCTGAGAGAGAGAGGGAGCAATACACTGTAGCTCCATATTTCCGAATTCAAAGTTAGCTATAGATCTGTTTTACCACCCAGAACATCACTAGACCAAAGCTCTGTTTTGGTGGACTTTTTGAAAGCCTCAAAAGGCCACAGCAAATAGAATGGTTGAGAATTGGGAAGGTGACAGGATAGTTAATGAGGAAGAGGGCCAAGAGAGTGCTTGAAAAGAGGCAACCTGGCATATAAGAAGACTTTTCTAAAAACATGAGTCAATGCGTTAGATGGCACTAAGACAGTATGACTGAAAAGAATGTAGGTACCACCAGAACTAAAACAGAGATACCTAGAGCCTCATAGACTAGTATAGTGATTCTCAACCAGGGTCCTGCAAAGTGCCATGCAATGTTAGCACTGCTAGGTGTGCAAACACCTGCACATGATTCACAAGATAACTCAGAGATTTGAGACAGAAAAACTACAAGGATCAGTGTAAATTTCTGAGGGTTTTTTTGCAACTTAAGAGTTGCTCTATTGGTTTTCTATAGTCAAAAAATAAATTAAAGCTATGACCTGGTATTTTCCAAGGGGTGCCTTGAGTCTAGTGAGGTTGAAAACCACTAGACTAGTAAAAGTAAAGTGAATCCGAAGGAAAGAGACAGGACGTTATCAGAGACAATATACAAAGATGAGATTATGTATAGGAAGCAGCAGTAGAAGAAAATGTCTTCAGCAGCCATATTTGTACAGATCTAAAGATGGGAGAAGTGAGAATCCAGGATAAAAAGATATTTACAGTAATCAGGGTGAGAAATGATCAGTGTTTGGATAAAGGCCTTAATAGTGCATGATGTCAGAAGAGGGTAGATTTTAAAGCTATTAAAGGTAGAAGGGCCAGAAAATAGTTGCAGTTCTTGTTGCCCTGTTGGAAAGTGCTCAGACAATATGGTGGTGATAGTACTATAACAACTAAATAGAAAGTAAGAAACCAGGCACCAGGACAGAAGAGTTAATGACTGACTAATTATTCAATAAGGCGAATAAACTTTTAAAAAAATTATTTAATAAAGTATTAGAAAATTGCTTCCTCTCACTTGCCTGCAGATTCAGGACTACAGCATTTTGAAACGGTAATCGCCTGCAGAATAGGGAGTTCAGGAAAATGCTGGATCATAATTTTTTGTGTATTGTTTGTGATATGATGCTGCAAGAGAGAATCAGATTTGGTGTGGGTCAGAGCTTCTTGAAGGCATTGACTTAATTGAGGTTTGGATTAGAAATTGTGTGAAGGAGAAGCAGATTTTAAATTAAAGAGCATTTTGTTTTTTAACTTACATTTTGTTAATGATGTAAAAATTTAATCTTTGTAGTTCAGATGTTGAAACTTCCAGCAGACAATTCAAGTATGAATGCTTGATATTTGAACTCCCCAACATAATGAATTTTAGAGGCTGATTTTTATTATCTGTTTTTTTCATAGATATGGGATTTGGCTGACCCAGAGGGTAAAGGATACTTGGATAAACAGGTATAAAAAATATCTAGCATAGATTAATCTGATGGCTCTAGAATTTGGGTTCTGATTCAGGAAATCATTTTTATTTAGAATATCACTTTAAGCAAGTCCTTAAACCCCTTTCAAGTTAAGTGTGTTCTTGCATATTTTACAGTATCAGGGATTTTTTTCCCCAATACTTCTCAAAGCCAAATGTGTGTGTGTGTGTGTGTGTGTATATATATATATATATATATATATGGTAGGTATATCTATATCTACCATTCAAGAGTAGTGTAATTAGAAAGTTTTAATAAGAGTAAACTGGAGACATTTCCATTGGTAAGATTTTATATAATTGAATTGGGGGGTCATCTTAAATTCACCTCGTCCCTGTCTCTGCAGCAGGGAAAGTAGAGGTTGAGGATCAGGCGGCAAGACCCCCACCCCTTGGTTCCCAGTCTCTTACCCCCTTAATCTGTGCCTGCGCCTGGCTGCCTGTCCCCCAGCTGCTTACCGTCTGCAGTGGCTCCAGCTCCAGGACAATTAGCAGTGGCCTCAGCCTTGACCCGGCTCAGCCAGGCAGAAGCAGCAGTTGCTGCAGCAGCTCTGGGCTGCACCAGGGCCAGAGTAGAAACTAAGTGGGGGGTGGGGAGAGGAGCAGGCAGCAGGAGGACGGGCTGTGCGGTCTCCCCCATACTCCCTCCAAGTCCCCCACCATATAATCTCCCCTGCTCTTCCCCTTTCATGTGCCCCTATCCCTGCAGCCCCCCCACCCCATCCCAGCCAAGGCAATGGATTGTCTCCAGGGGAAGTGGAGGGTGGGAATCTCCTTTTGGATTTGAATAAATACATTAAACCAACAGGATGGAATGAGAGTATAATTAGTTGAACATCCCTGCTCCTGTGCTTTCACTTAGCCAAGTTACCTTTACCATTTTATAAAAAACAGTATATAGATGATTCTGCTTAAAAATAATTATTTAGCCTAGTTCCTTGCTTCAGTAGAATACACTGAGTTTCTTTGTCCATTGAATTTTTAGGGTTTCTTTGTTGCATTGCGACTCGTAGCATGTGCACAGAATGGCCATGATGTTACCTTGAGCAATCTAACTTTGACTGTGCCACCTCCTAAATTTGTAAGTAACTTTTAAATTCAGAAATTAAACTTAAAAACAGAAAAAGAAACCTAGAATAGTCTTTTCTACCTTACAAATTGACTACTAGTAGCTAGACACAGATTGTAAGTTCTTTGAGGAAGGGTCCTTCTTGGTTTGTGTGTATATAGAACTTAGCACCACAGGGAACTTGTCCATGCCTGAGTCTTGTAGCGGTGGGAGTAATACATATTAATCTGACATTTTAATTTGTTTTTCTATTTGCATAAAACATACAAGAGTGACCCCCGTCCTCCCACATGATGGCAAAATGTATATGTGTATATATTTCATATGTATAGATACTTCTAAGAGAATTAGGCAATAAAAAGAAAGTTGACGTGTGATAATGTTATGTTGTAATCTTGTTCTGTTTTATTTTACTTTTAGCATGAAAGTGGTAGCCCCTTATTGATCACTCCTCCTTCAACAGAAAGTCACTGGGCTGTTAGGGTAAGTGTACAGGACAGTACATTTGCATCCAATCTTTGCATGTAAAAGGTGTCTTTTTGTTAATGTGATTATTTTCTTGTTAGCAAAATTATATTTTAGACATTGGAAAACCTTTCTATTATAGAAGTAGACTTGGGCACATGGGACACACAATATTAGTATGTATTTTATAGTTGTTATAAACTTCTGTCAACATTTGACATAATATTTTGTTAAGAGATATTGTTAGTCAAGATTGTGTTCTCAGAGCCTTGTTTTGTTTAGCTTTTTTGCATGAATTGACAGATAGAATGGAACGCATGCTCAGAAAACGTTTGGACTTAGAGCCACCTGTAGATCAGTGAAGATCTTTACCAAATCCATCTCCATGTGTGGTCTGTTTGAAACTTGAGTCCATCACTGCCTTGGCGCGTAGTATTTTTTGCCCGTGTTCTGGTTTCATAGAACAGAGTAGTTTGGAGTGTAATTTGTGAATTTTAAATTTTGATTATAAACTTAAAATTAAATTTCTTTTTCTGGATGATATATGATCAAATTATTTTAAAAACACATTTCCACATTGCACAGTATAGTCTAAGGTAGGGAACAATATTGCTGAAAATAACAGTTCTTAGTAAAGTAGATGATTTCTGAAAGTTGCATAGTTTAAAATCTGGGCACAGAGATGTTAAACACAATCATTTGTCTTTCCAGTCTGCTAAAGAAACTTTATTGTATATTGTGCATCAGTTTTGCTACTATGATATAATCCCTTTTTGAAACTTCCAAAAACTTCTTCTCATGCAGAGAGAATAATCTCCAAAAGTTATTGCCACGACTTTTAAAACTAAGTACAATAGAGTGCTTAAGGTGTATAGCATGAAAACTTGAAAGATAAAATGATAGATTACTGACCAGTCTCTGAGTTTTTGCAAGATCTCTTTTTTGACACTCACACAGGCACACTTTTTTACTTATTCAGGCTATTTCTTACCAACTAGGTGGAAGAAAAAGCAAAGTTTGATGGTATTTTTGAAAGCCTTTTGCCAGTAAATGGCTTACTTTCAGGAGACAAAGTAAAACCAGTACTGATGAACTCAAAACTACCTCTTGATATCCTAGGAAGGGTAAGTATCCCATAAGTGTTACCTAGATCCTCCTTTAACTTTGGTTTTGTGAAATTAAATACTTAATGTAATTGGTCATAATAGCAGTAGTTTAAATACAAGCAATATTTCAAATATACGCCTTCCTTGTTAAAGGCTGGCAAAAGTTAAGCTCTTCAAATCATTATTTAGGCAATTATGTAAGTGGTCCATTTTTAAAAATCTGTGTGTTAATTTGTATTTTCACTGTTTTAAATTTGTTTCTGAACTCTTATATTGTGTCTAAATTACTATAGGTCTGGGATCTCAGTGATATTGATAAAGATGGACACCTGGATAAAGATGAATTTGCTGTGGTATGTCTTTGTTTCCAAAATAGCACTGGTGAGGCTTCCATTTTGGGCACAGAACTTCAGAAGAGAACTTGACAAATTGGAAGGAGTCCAGTGGAGAGCAACAAATATTTGTAGAGGCCTAGGAAACGTGACATACAGGAAAACTGTGGAAGAACTGGGATTATTCAGTCTGCAGAAGAGAAGACGGAGTGGGGATTTGATAAAAACCTTCTAATATATGAAGGATGGTTAGAAAGAGAATGGTGATGGAGTATTCTTTGTGGATGCAGATACAAGAGGAGTCTCAAATTGCAAAAATGGAAATTTAATTAGACATTAGGAAGAACTTGTTCCCTATGAAGGTAGTTAAGCATTGAAACAGATGACCTAGAGAGATTGTGGAATCTCCATCCTTAAGAGCCTTTAAGAGCAGGTTAGACAAATGTTTATCTGAGGTGGTTCAGGCAGGATCATCCCTGCCTAAGCCTTGAGCAGGGTGTTGTACAAAGTGATCTCCTCAGGTCCTGTCCAGTTCAATTTTTTTCTATTAAATTTACAGAAAGTTTGACCACGTAAATGTGTGCCATTGCTTCCTGAAATTGTTTGTTGTTACAGCTTCCTCTTTTCTGGCCTCCTGTTGCTCACATTGTCCTTACTCTGAGTCGTTCAAAATATAGCTATTAAAATGCTGTTCCTCCTTGAAAACCTCTGCTGACTATTACTTACCAATGTTTAAACCCTTACATTCCTGACCATCTATATGTTTCTTGTGGCCTATATCTCTTTTCTGTCGTGTTCTTTCTCTCGTGTTTAGATATGTGCTATTTGGAATTTTGTGTGTGTTCCTCTTTATTAACATGTTTTATAGATGGATTTTGCCTTTACCGTTGCAGGCAATGCATTTGGTTTATAGAGCTCTTGAGAAAGAGCCAGTTCCTTCAGTATTACCCCCATCACTTATTCCACCTTCCAAAAGAAAGAAGGCACCTGCTTTTCCTGGTGCAGTTGCTGTTCTCCCTGCAAGCCCTCCACCTAAAGACAGCCTTCGTTCTACTCCATCACATGGCAGTGTAAACAGCCTAAATAGTACAGGGAGTTTGTCTCCCAAACACAGCATCAAACAAGCACAGGTACAAGTTTCATGTTTTGTTTTTAATTTTATTTGCAGGGAACTACAGAATAATTAAACTACTTCTTGCTGGATAATTTTTCTCCCTAATGTTTGTTGAAAAGCACTCAGTGACAAAAGGGTGGCTAGAACAGAAAATTGTAGGTTGTATTTGTCACAACACTCTGTTCAACATTACCTTTAAGTGGTATGATTAGCAGTTTGGGCTTGTGCCAGAAAAATACTAATTCTGCTTCAGCCCTAGCACCAAAGGAGGAATGAATCTGCACCTGAGACTCAAATATGGATCTCTACCTTTGCAATGTGGAGCCCTGATACTAACAATTCCTCTCAGCCTACCTATTCCGTGTATAAATAAGAAACATGGTTTTTGACAGAATCAGTTTATTCCTAAGATTGTCATATATGTTATAAATCCTAAAACATTAACGAAGGGAAGAGAAATGTCTGTATGCTGGTGACAAACTTAATCGTACAAGATGCTGAGCACCTCCAGCTGCAGTGGGTTTGTATCTGGCATGATTGAACCCAGGTGTACATTTGATTTTTGGCTAAATTAATAACATTTATTTTTACAGCCATCTTTGAATTGGGTGGTACCAATGTCTGACAAAATGCGATATGATGAAATCTTCTTAAAAACTGATATGGACATGGATGGTTATGTGAGTGGTCAAGAAGTGAAGGATATTTTTATGCACTCAGGACTTTCTCAGAATCTCTTGGCACACATATGGTAAGGTTTCATCTCGAGTTCTGTCTTCTTTGCCATAGACAGAATCTGAAACTAACAGTTCCCTTGCTGACATTTACATCTATTATCTTTTGTATTTTTAGTATTTTTTACTGTAGGACAGATAATATTTTTCCCTTTTTTTTCTCTATACAGATTAAGACCTTGCAAATTAGGCAGCATTAGAGTCCTGTGCCACTTTGAAAATACACGTCCCGCCTTATTTTGTCATTGTAATGATAGGCATATCTTGCAGTGGGTGCTTCTACTTTATACACCAGTTCATTAAGGGTGAGAGGGTGGTGATGATGACTTGAAGATTCCTGTCAATCAACTGGCTAGAAGTGTGTGTGTGGGGGGTGGGATCCAAATATTGTTAGCTAAGTGTTTTAAGAAAAGATGTCCTATTTTTATAGAATTGTCCCAGTAGGGTAATGGATGCTAAGGCCAAAACAAACAAAAAAAATCAGTCTGTTTGTTTCTCAGATTCCATTGTAACAACAGCAGATATTCAATTTATAAGACATTTTGACTTATAATAAGACTAAACAATTCCTAACAGGGCCTTGGCAGACACAAGACAGATGGGAAAGCTAAGCAAAGATCAGTTTGCCTTAGCCATGTATCTCATTCAACAGAAGGTCAGTAAAGGGATTGATCCTCCACAAGTGTTGTCCCCAGATATGATCCCTCCTACAGAGAGGAGTACTCCCATACAAGTAAGTAATTGTTTATTAATAGACATATTGCTCTATTTTTACCTTTGTGTTCTGAAAGTAACTAGTTTGGAGAGTTTATTAATGTTCTAATTTATATCTTGTTACACATCACAGTGTAAAATTTAAGTTTAGAAGAATTGTTGCCTATCTTCTGCTGTTTAACCAAGATTCTGGAATATATATATATTACATTAATTGGTTAGGAATTGAGAAATTCCCGTTGGATTACGTTTCTGTTGACTCATTTGTTTCAGAAATTAAACCAGTTTCAGAGACCGTATCTTTTGCTAGGAAACATTCCTGTTGGGCTGGGAGAGGATAAGACTCTTGAACCATGTTAAGTGGTGGTGATATGCTGCCCATTCTAATTCTGTTTTAGAGAAATCCCTTTCAGCATCAGGATGATGGGTTAAGTCAGACCACTCTTTCTTTTGTCTTTCTTTTTTTTGTGGGGGGGAGGCCAGGGGAGGTGGAGGCTAGGCAAATCCAGATGGCTGAAAGGTTAGTAGTATTAATGAAAATCTTGTCTGTTTCAGCCATATTTCCAAAGCTGAACTGTTCATTCACTGTTTTGTCACAGCCTTTCTGATTATCCTTTCAACGTTAAGTGCTTTTTGAAAATGTTACTGCTATTGGAGTCCCTTTTTCAAAAGTGACTTTGGGTGCTTAGCTGCTTGTTGTTTTTGAAAATAGAGTTTAGGCCTTCAATGGTTTTAGCCAAAGTCTGACACATGCGATGGATCTCTCTTCTATAGATGGCCAATACTACAGATAATAAGTGAAATGGAGAGGTTGACTCTAAAAGCAGCATGGAGTAGAGAGACCTGTGCCAAGACAAACAGGGCAACTTTAACCTTGCTTCATTCAGGGTTATTTAGGATGGTTTAGTCAACTCATATTGCTACAGAAATGTGTAGCTATAGCAGTTGGATCATAACAGGTGATGCACACTACAAAGCAACAGCTCTCTTTTCCCTTTTAAAGTTGTTAAAAAGTATGTTTGTCCACCCCTAAAATTAATGTAATAAAAAGAACTCTGCAGTATGTTGTGTTAAAAAAGTATTTAAATATCACAGGTCTTCAGAATATCAAACCAATAAGGAAAACTAAAGGTACCTACAGATATTTAGCGGCCACAGACTAACTCATGGCAGTTTACGCAAAGCGCCGTGAATTAGAGGGCTACCCCCTTACCCAACAGATGTTCACCTGTTGGGTCAGGGGGGGCTCAGGCTTATCTGCATTGGCCCTGGCCAGCAGGAGGGGGCACTCCAGCAGGCTCCGAGGTGGTTGCTCCCCAGGCCCTACCCTCTATCACCGGTGGAGGAAGGGGGAGAGAAAGGGAGCAGCATGCAGCTGGCAGCTGGGCAGTGCCTGGCCGGAGCTGGAGGGAAGCTCGGGGTAGAATGGAGTCCCCTTGCCTCGTGGGGCCAATCCCTCCCAGATACTCTGGCTGGTGCACTGGGGGAAGCCAAGCTGAGCCCATGAGGTGGGGAGGCTCTGTTCCACCCTGGCCCTCTTTCCCCCCACCCACTTTGCCCATGGCAAAGCTGAGCTGGCAGCTTCTGCTGCCACTGTCAAGAGGCCCAGGGAAGGGAGTCTCCCTCCCTGGCAGGCCCCCCAGATACCCCAGCTGGGGTATTGGGGGGGGAACTGGGCCAGGGCCACAGGTAAGGGATCCCTTCCACCACCCCTGTCCCCCTCCCTCCCCTGCTGACAGCCTTGGGGGCACAAGAGCACCAGTGCAGCCCTGCAAAGGCGCTAAAAATGAACCCTTGAGAGAACACAAGTTCCCTAAGGTGCTGTGTTCTATATCACCTTCAGCTAATAGCTAATTTGATGAGGATTCATTTTTCATGTGATTGGCCATTTTAAAAGCACTCTGCAGCCATACATGTGTATTGTGTCATGGCTGTAGCATGCTTTCAGGGGCCCAATCACACAAAAAATGCATTGTGTGTAAATGCGCTAAGAAGAATCAGTTTGTCATTCCCTCATAAACACTGTTACTTTTTAGAGGGCTAGAAACATTTTACTCATGAACTTTAGTCATAAATCCCAAGTCTCCTCAGTGACTTTATTAAAAGTTTGCATGCCACAGAGGTAAGGAGAAAGCCTTCAGTCTGGCCCCTTCACTTCCATAATGAATGCTTCTCACTGAGGGATATGAAAACTTCACTGTTTACGGCGGAACCCGGGGAAGAGCACTTTGTGTCCAAAAGGTAGTCTTTCTATTCCATCTATATAGTTTGTTCAATAAAAGATATTAATGAAAAAACTCTCTCGCTGTAGGAGATGCCCAAATGCTGCTTTAAAGGAAATAGGCATGTTGAAATCTGCATGTCTTATACTTAGAGAAGGGTACAGACTTGAAATACTTGAGATGAAAGAATGGGCCCAATTAAGTCATTGGGAGTTTTGCCATTTTCTTGGAGAGGGACAGGGCAGGTTATGTTCCTTGAATTTTAATCCTGCCACAGCCATTGATTTATACTCTGAACATGTGGAGGTCCCTTATCTTCTCTGTGCCTCAGTTAACCATCTATTAAATATGGATTGATAATATGCTCCTACCTCAAGGAGGGCAAGCTCAGTACTATGTAGAGTGCTTTGATGTCCTGTTATGGAAGGTACAAAGTGAGGTGTGGTCTTAACTCTGTCTCAAGTTTTTTGTAAAAATTGCATCCTGGTTGTTAATTTGCTTTGTAAGGGAATATTTTGTTTTTTTTCAGGATAGCTCAAGTTCTGTTGGGTCAGGAGAATTTACAGGAGTAAAAGAACTTGATGATATTAGTCAAGAGATAGCACAGCTACAAAGGTAAACTTAGTGAACTGTTAAAATATTCTGACCATTATTCTGAATCCCAATAATGGAAGATCTTCCTTCCTAAGGAAAGCTCTGTACAAAATTACGTGTTGTGTAATGTGTATTGTTTCAAATCTTTATATATAGTTTTTTGAAATATCTTAAAGAAAAGAATCCTCCATGAAATAATTAAAATGTTGCATCTATTCCTGCCATATCATAGGAAATTAGGTATCGTGCAGACTTGTTATTAGTTACAGTCGTCCTCTCTTCCCTCATCTGTTGTTAGTATATATTGGTCTTGTCACTATTGTCAGTTACGTACTGGTTGTGATGAAAGAGGCCATTTTGTGCCTAGCTACAAGTAATATCAAACGGTTGTCACTCGGATTGACTTTTGGTTTTAATGGACATTCACTTCATACTGTTGAACATGTCTTCTGGTTATGCTTACCAAATAAGGAGCTGTGCATTCATTATTGAGTATGGCACAGTGGGTTTTTTACTACTTCTCTCCCTTTCCCTCCATTGCGCTTGGAGTGTGTAGTTCATTTGGTAACGCATTTATGTGGTGTCATTTTATTTTGGTTGTTTTGTTTTGTTTTTTTATTTAACAAGAAACTATTGGAAATGGGACCCTAGCACCTTTTACGTAGTTGAGTCCAGCTGTCTGTTTTATTTTTTTATAGCCTAAGTCAGTGATTCTCACCCAGGGTGCCATGAGATCCTTTCAAGAATCCCATGCAATGTTAGCATTGTTAGGTGTGCAAACATGATTCACAAGGTAACCAGAGATTTCAAATAGGATTTCATAATGTTAAAAACATTCCGACCTCCTTGGGGTCTTTCTGAGTTCTTTACAACAGAAGAATTGTTCTGTTATTTTTCTGTAGTCAAAAAACAAGTGAAAACTAAGAGTTGGCATTTTCTGATGGGGGCCTTGAGTGTAAAAAAGGTTGAAAACCAGTGGCCTGATTGGTTTCTTCTGAAATCTGACTGATGTAACTAAAGTACATTTTGCATGATCTACAACTTTGCTGCTCACTTACATGAAACAATGAATTTCTAAACTTTAAAACAGTTTAGTACATGGCACAGGTGTATTTTGTTTTGCTTACAACTGATTGTTACTTGACCATTGGTGATATATTGTCTTTTGAATGTAACAATTCCTAGGCAAGTGGTTCTCGACCTTTTGAGACTCAAGGCCCCCATCTGAAAATGCCAGCTCCTAGCTTTCAATCACAAGAATGTTTGTTCTTCCCACAGAGAAAAATATTCACTAGAGCAGGATATTAGAGAAAAGGAGGAATCAATTAGACAGAAAACCTGTGAAGTTCAGGTAAAAACTTTGGATTTTCATTACTGATCTTTCTTTCAATGATACTTCAAAGTCTTCCTCGTCACCATCCCTCTCCATCCCACTCTTCTTATGTATTTCCTTGGGCATATTTTTTCTCACAGTGGGGAAATTTATGTAATCTCATTTAACGTGTAGCAATGATTTTATTTTTCTGTTTGCTATAGAGAATTTATTTTTTTATGCTGCCTAATGTAAAACACAGGTAGTATAGGCACAGCTGAAATCATGTCTTTATTAATGCTTTGCTAATACCTTTATTTTAAAAGTATCCTTCTAATATTCTAAAACTCGTGTTCTGAAAATCAATGTTTAAAACATTTGACATGCAGGCTTTCTTGTCACTCTGTCCTCCTACTGCATGGACATTGATTTGTTATAAAGGATTACAGTAGTACTGAAATGCTGCCATGTTATTTCCCCACCCCCCTTTCTTTAGGAAAAAACACTGATGCCTTTGGGTGGTGGGAAATTCTGAATTTAACAACCTTAGCAGTCTTCCTTTAAATTTAATCATTTGTATCAGAGCCTCAGTTAAATGTAACCTGTCCAAATTGTGGAATATTTCTCAGGAACTGCAAAATGATTTAGATAGAGAAACAAGTAATTTGCAAGAGTTAGAAGCTCAGAAACAAGATGCTCAAGACCGCCTGGATGAAATGGACCAGCAGAAAGCCAAACTGAAAGATATGCTAAATGATGTGAAGCAGAAGTGCCAAGAAGAAACGCAAATGGTGAGTGTACATTAATTTTGGAGGAGGTCCAGTATATTGTCTCTATGGCAGAAAACTATTGGAGATTCTATAAGAATTTCTTACATTGCTTACTCATTTTGAGCTTAATGGCCTGTACTGCACAAATATAAAAAGGTTTAAAGCAAGCATTCTGTTAACCTGAATAGCTTTCATGACAGCCTTATATATTTATTCAATATAGTATGTGAATATGGGTTGACACAGGCGGCAGCTGTGTGGTACATAAGCCCTGGCACTCAGTAAAGGGAGTTGCAGAGAGGTTAGGTTAGAACCTCTGCCATCATGGAGCAGAGTAGTGGCAGTTGTCAGGTGTCATTGCCAAGAGCCAGGTTAACCCTTCCCTGGCCTGGCAGCCACCATCAAATTCAAGGCTTTGGATCCTTGCTCTCCATATGAAATAGCAGCGATTGAGGGGCCAGGGTGGGCCTAACCTGACTTTTGGTGGTGACCCCTTTCTCACAGCATCATCCTGCCCTGCTCTACTCCATGTGGCCAGAGACTCTGAACACTCCCACCTCCATTCTGGCACCTTAACGAAGTCTTATGAGATATGGGCTGCACCCTAAATCAGGACAGCACCCTGGTTAAGAATCACTGGTTTAACGTAGTGGAATTTGAATTAATCATAAATGTTACATAACAATGCCATATTTGTTTTTGTGTCTATGCTAAAGTCGGTGCTGTATTGTAACTTTCAGATTTCATCACTGAAAATGCAGATTCAGTCTCAGGAATCAGATTTAAAATCACAGGAAGATGATCTAAATAGAGCAAAAACAGAGTTGAATCGCCTCCAGCAAGAAGAAACACAGCTAGAGCAGAGCATCCAGGCAGGAAAAGTTCAACTTGAAACAATAATTAAATCTTTGAAGTCAACACAAGAAGAAATCAATCAGGTAGTTTCCATAGTCTTCTGTGCACGTCTTTGTCTTGTTTAAAAAATAATAGCTTAGAAAAAAAACCAAATTGTACCTGTGAAGTGCACACATCAAGAGGAATAAGCAGATATATAATTATATGGATCTTGTACTGTTGCCTGCTCATTAGATTCCCAGTTCATGTAAAATTTGAGTCTGGAAAATAACTAGGAATTTGCAGTGGCTACACTATCCTCATGCAAAGTGACTCCTACTTCTCTGGAGCCATGAAGAAACCAAATTCTGTAGTTACTGCACTGTTTAGATTGTAAGCATGAAAACACTATTAGAAAAATAGCTAGTAGCATGTTCAACAGCTGTATGTCTAATCCTGTATGATGCTGAATTATTTTTCATCATTTAGGCAAGAAGTAAGCTTTCTCAACTTCAAGAGAGTCACCAAGAAGTCAATAAAAGTATCGAACAATATAATGAAGCTCTGAATGGGATTCATGGTGGAAGCATGACAAATTTAGCAGACATAAATGAAGGAATTGCACAGAAAGAAAGAGGCAGTTTTGGAGCTATGGTAAAGATTGAATAAAAATGCTTGAATTTAAGCTTCACACTCAATAGATTTGTGCCCTAAACTGAGAACGTAAAAAGATGTTATTTGTCTTTGTGATCTTAATAGCCCCTTTGATCTTAGAAAGATGTCAGCCTCTAGTGCTATGCTTTGAAGACTAAATCTCTCTCCTAATAAAGGGGTTTCTGCCCAGAGTTAACACTTCTCTTTAAGTGTTTTCAAGGGTTTCTTTTTGCCGAAAACACACTGAACAAGACAGAAAGGGAGAGTTTTTTTTCTGAATGATTATTAAGCTAGTATGTGAAATAACTTGCTGTGCATAATGCATTAAATGCTAAACCTGCAATGTCATATTTACAGTGAGGTTTGCAAGCTGGGTTTGACTTGACAAAGAGACCTCAGCTAAACATGACTGTAACATTTTATTTCTAGTGAACATCAATTCTTGGAATTTGTCAGTAGAATTATAAAGGGAAAAAGCATAGCTCTACAAATACACTCTCCTCCCCCCTCCTCCCTTCCTTTTGTCAGCATAGTTTGTACCAGTTCTTCAAATAAAACAAGCTGAGCCAACAGAAGGACTGTCTTGCTGAGATTTGCTGTATCTACACTAGATCTATGCTGACTTTTTACACTCCGGACTGAGAGGGAGAGGTGGTGGGGGAAAAAAATTAAACCAGGCCTTATTTTATGGCCTGTCAGATTTCTAGTGTAAGCAAAATAGACAGTTTGACTGTTTGGTTTTAAATCCCAGTACAGCTGTTCTCAGAGTCCTTCAGGCACCTAGGAATATAACTTCCTCAACAGTTGTTCCTGTTCCTCTTTTACTAATGGGTTTCTTTTCCTCACCTCACTTTTTTTTCTTTTTCTTTTTTCTCTCTTTTCTTTTTCTGAAGTAGCTACACTAGTTTCTGCTTTCCAGTAAGGCATGAGTTGTATGTTTACACACTTCAGCTAAATAAATACATAAATATAGGCAAAAAAAGCTTATCCAAAAAGGATAATACGTGGATTCTGTCCTTGGCTACCCTTCAGATATTCCTAACATGATCTTCCTCTCATTCGTTATTTTATTTCAGATGTATATTCTGTTCCATATATTCCTTAGGAATCTTAAGAACTTGTCATGTTGATTTACTTTGGGTATCTGATATTTATTGGGTGTTTACTAAATTATATAAATTGTACTTATGCAAGAGGTAAGGGTTTCTTCGGGTGATATATTTTATTGGATGAACTGTGTAGTTGTGATAAAGTTACACAAGCTTTTGAATCCAAGACAGTCTTCCTCAGGTCTCTCATTACAGAGAGCCAGGCAGCCAATAAAAGTACCACCCTAAGAAATCCTTGCCTCTCTCAATTTCTGGACTTCACAACTACAATATCACTCTTACACTACCATAAGCTATACTTACTCATTTATAACGTTGCATATTTATTTCTCCAGCTGTTAATCACTGTCACAGTCATATTTTGTTCAGGTCTCCTTGCCAGTCAAACTCCTCTTGCAAACCTTTCTGTCAAGAAGAAACTACAGGTTTATCATTTAATACACTATGTATAGTAAGTTGTTATTTCATACACTAGTCTAATAATCATTCAGAAAGAATTCCATCCTTCTGCCTTGTTCGGTTTGCCTTCTGTAAAAGGAACTTTTGAAAACGTTTAAGAAGGAAAAACTAACTTTGGACAGAAACTCTCTTATTAGAAGATAAATTTGGTCTTAAAAGGTCATTCGCAGCAGTCATTTTTGCTTGAACAGATATTGGCAAGGAACATTTCAAATTGAAGTCTCTGGAATGGTGCTTTTGTATTACTAAGCCTGAGAACTACTTGAGGAAAACTCTAATTCATGTTTGTAGAAAAATGTTTAAAGTACTTAGGCCTCTTTCCTGTTTCTTAATCCACTCTTCCTCTTATGTTTTTTCTTTTGCTGTTGAGAAGATTTAATTTTCACTTCTTCATTTGTGACTACTGTGAGAGGGGAGATCCCTCAGTGTATTAGGCAGCTTACAGACTTGGGAGAAAAAAACCCTAGCACTTTACTTTAAGCTCACCATGCCCCCGCACCAGGCACACTGCATGCCCAGAAGAGGCATTGCATTAGTTTGACCTGGCTCAACATCTGTATAGATCCCGCACTTCAGCAGGGCTTTTTGGCGCTTTTATCTAATAGTTGCTTGAATCGGCTTTAGATAAAAGCAATAAAAGATATCAAATTCACCCAAGGAACCTTGTCTGCCATTGTAGTGCACAGTCTATACAGATGCTGGGGAGCTGCGTCAAACTAAAGTGCTTCCTCTTCCAGTGAAGTGCTGGGTTTTTGTTTTTGTTTTCCTGTCAGCAGCCTTAGGCTGTAAGAACATGGTGACACTGGTGGTTAGCACTAAATATTTATTAGGTGGGGTGAAAGGCCTCAATCAGGAGTGGAGTTCTATTGTTCTAAGTGACAGATTCTTATCTATGCAAATACAGCAAGCAGTACAGTGTGCAGTTGCAGTGATGAAAGTTTTGTTTTTAGAATTTGTCAGTGCTGTAGATTGAACTGTGCTAGCAGCAATCATACCTACTTAAAAAAATTAAGCTATCCATGACATTTGATGACCATGTTAAGAGAGAGAGTTTCCAGCATGGTTTGGGTAGTGCATCCTTTAGAAGGAAATCCCTGTTCATGCTTGTCAGCTGAACTGTCCTAACCCTGTTCTTAAAAGATTTATCATTGTGGTTCTTCCCACACTTATGAACTAGGTGGGGATCCTTATTTAGGGATCTGTGGAAAGGTCTTGGAAAAGTTATTCTACCTGAACGTGTGAAAACCCCGGAGGATGACACTTTGGAAAGATTTGTGGAGACTTTTGAGAAATTAATTTAACAAAATCATGAACAGCTTACCACAAGTTGTGTTCTATATGTAGACTTTGATTTTATTTTTCTTTGTAGCTTCAAGCAGTATATTTCTAACACTTGCTTCAGCTTACTGATAATTTGTGGTTTCCTGAAGATCATTCTGAATTTTGAATATCGTTGAACAGGATAAAGATTATGTGGGAATTCTACTTATTGGATCATTCAGCCTTTTAATTTTGGTAAATCATAATATTTCTCTTTTAATTCTAGGATGATCCATTCAAAAATAAAGCCTTGTTGTTCAGTAATAACACACAAGAATTGCATACAGATCCATTCCAGTCAGAAGATCCTTTCAGATCTGATCCATTTAAAGGAGCTGACCCTTTCAAAGACAGTAAGTGACTTGATGGCTAACACAAAAACTAGAAGAGTCAGGGTTTTTTTTTCTTTTTTACAACTTTGCTAATCCTTTTAACTAACTGACAAAATACAATATATTCTTCTTTATCTAGGTGATCCATTTCATAATGATCCTTTTGCAGAACAACCACCTGCTTCAGCAGGTAAAAGTTTTTCAGTTGATGAGATTGACAGGATAGAATTTGTAACCAAATGTGAAGGTGTAAAGACAGCAGCTGGCTTTCTGTGGCTTCAGGTTTTACGTTTAAATTGGAAGGCCTATAGAATTGTTTGTGGGATGTTTTGTGCAGGGAAAAAGGGGAGAAGGTTTTAAATATAGTAGGT